GTCACATAAGGAGTTGTAATTATTTTAAATTAAAAGTTAACAAAAGTTTTTATTGTTTGCATTAAAAAGTACTCAAATATTTATTATGTTGTGGTTTTATTCAATTATTTAAGTATATTTAAAGGATAAAAATATAATGTTTTATAATATACTATTTTTACAATGTATGTTTTACAATAAAAGTGTTTGAATTTCAAACTTTGAAACAAGGTAAAAGGAAGTTATAATTTAATTGCATATAAACTATCTTGATTTTGCCAAATTTATTAACATTTAAGTTAATATTTATTTGCTATAAATTGAAGGAAATATTCATAAATAATATTTTGAAATTAGAATTAGTTTCCCTGAAAACTTTGCCTAATATTTAATTCAATTTCTTAATCGTAAAAATGATGATAAAATGCTGACGTTTTTTGGGAAGTTATTTTTAAAATGAAATACTGTTTAAACAAAATTTTTAAATCTAAAATAATGCCCACAAATCTGAACAAATATTCAAATAAAAGTCTGTAAATGTATTTTATCGTTGTTTTATTATATAACTCAAATGGCGTTATGTATTTTACACATATTTATCACTTTAATGTTTGTAAGTTTTAAATATTTTTTAATGCAAAAACTTTATAATTTGATATAAATTTAGAAACTCTTCCAAACGATTTATGAAATACAGTATAAGATTCCAGCCGTACATCATACATGTATATAACTTATATAATATAAGAGTGTTTCAAAGTGTTTGGTTATATTGTCTCCGATTTTGTTTCTAATGATAATTCTAGCCTTTGGCGGGTTTTTGCAGAATTGTAATGCATTTTCCTGACAGGACTTATAATATGCTTAATATTCAGCATTACATAAGTTTGTATAAAGGACTGCATTCCTATCGTTTGTGAGGTTCACTGACTTAACGTTCGGAATATTTCGTTCAATTGAAGCGTTGCTTAAATACAGAGAGAAAAAAAGTAAAAACAGGATTTGAAGCGCTGTTTCTGAACGTCAGGCTATGCTTTTAAAAGCAATCATTTTCTTGTGCAGTATTTTATTGATATACAGTATACATAATAGATGATTGCCTACCAGTGCTCGTTGGGCTCCAATGAACATAGGGTTGACCACAGATGCGAACCCCTCAACGCATACGAGCTATGAGTTTAAGATGAATTGAGTCCTTGTTATGCAGAGCCTTGAAGAGGTCGTATGGGTTGAGGACGTGTCCTTGTCCTCCCGTCCTCTCTCCCCGTTCTCCCTCTGTCTAACCTTTAATTACCAAAACCTCTGAGAGAGTCGACCCAAACACGCATTAAAATTCCTGACATTTAGTACTGAAAGTCTTTTTTGAAAGTTAAGAAGTTTTGAAATTTTTAAAAAATAAATTCAAGTATAAATGCTGTAAAATATTGACGAATATTAATTTAATGGTCGATATGTGGTTATATGTGGTTATATTTGGCAATTAATAGCAAACATAATAGAGTGAAAGTGTGAGGAATTGTCTTCAAATCTTCTCTATTTGATGAGACAATAGCGTCACGAAAAGAGTTAATATTTGAGGGCAGATGTGATGCGAGTCTTAATTAACATAATATTATTGTTTCTCTTCGAAGGACACAATCGTATGCAATATATGGTGTTTTCATAACTTTCATAACAATAGATTTTAATATCATTTTAATAAACCATAGACTGACTTACAATTATGTAGAGAATCACGCATTTAATAAGTTTATTGCTTATAATTATAAACTTTCTCTATAATCACCCACTCTTTTAATGTATGCATTCATTGCCGACTTTGGAAACAAATTAATTTTGTAATTTTGCTTTCAATTGGCATTTGGTTCCACCTCTTCGTATTCGTTTGGCTTTTCATTATATAATTTAATAGTATTGAAGTTTAGATGGTTTTCAATTTATTTGATTATTAATCAAATGATTGAAAACTTATTTGAAATTTTTGCTATTTATTTCCTCCTTTGGAAAGAAGTAGTCAATTGAAATGATTTGGATTTCAAAAAGTTTTTTGGAATATTTCTTTTAAACCATGATTACAAAGACAATAGACTTAATAAATGCCAAATTAAATTGTGCCAAAAGTAAGTTATGAGATAACAATATTTTGAAATGTTATCGACAGTGCAATTGTTGAATAGTGTCGTATCATTCAAACCATAAAATATATGGTTTTTATTATATTATTGTTGATGAGTTGTTGCTATAGCGGCTAAATCTGGCATTTAAGCGATTAGTTTGTATGTTATGTAATGTGTGCATAATTTTAGGACAAGCGTTGGTTTGGTTTGTCAGATAAGGCAATCGTTTTGACTTTTTCTGGTGAATAAATAAGTGTTAACCAATGGATTTGAATCCGTAAGTGATGTTAATTTACAATTCTGTCGATAAGTAGTAAATGTAGAGTCAATTGAGTCGAGATTTCTCTTTCCTTAACAATTTTTTTTAATGACAGAAAAATCCCAAAATCCTGACCACGAAATCCTTCGTAACTTTTTTCAATTACTTTAAACGACAAAAAATAGTTACAACAGAATAATTGCTTAGACTATACATGTATTACTGTATAATCATGTATAGGTTGTCTGTGGCCTTATTTCTCTAATATTTTCCCTGTTTTGTTAGCTTAATAAACAAATACGAGTTTTATTTAGAAGTATACGCTTATTAAACAATTCAATTAATTGTTATGTTTACTCCAAATCATATCAAACTATTTAAGATTGTATAGTAATCCTTGTTTTGTAAACTTATTCCAGTATTTTGTAAAACAAAAATGTAAACTGAATTTCATTATCTCGGGAACCCTTACCCTTCGTATGGATTCTTGAATTTAAGTGCTTTTGTGAATAGGGTTTTGAAGTAAAGTTGAATAATTTTCGTTTATATAATAGTGATTAATAACAATAATAATAAAAATCCTCCAATTTTTGTTTTTTGGGACTTTTGTGTATTATTATTATTTCAAAACTTATTACAGCATTATATTTACGCAATGAATGCAAAGTTAATATTATTTTTTTCTGTACATTCATTTGATTGAACGCTTATTATTATATAATGACTTCAATAATAGCTAATAATAAATGTTTTCATAAAAGCGGCACTCCTTTTGACAATAAAGTCTTAAAAATAAATATTATATTTGGTGTCAAAAATAGATTGATATGATTATTGAAATGCAAATATTGTTTTACTTAAATATTTAGCTCATTTCCTATGAACATATTTTTGTGGATTAGTTTAATAACACTTTTTTGATGTACAGTTAATTGATATATAAACACATATCAATACATGTAAAATATCATAAAATATTTTACACAAGTTTTTATTATTCTATATTTATATAATAGTATTGTAATAAAAATATTGATTCAAATGCTATTTGAATTAAACACACATTAATATCGAGTGTTATCGCAAACAGGAATAAAAACTGATCATAAAATTACTGTTACTTTTTTGGAGTAGTGAAGGAATGCGAGCAACAAATTAATTGTCGATCTTATCAAAGATGGTATTCATTTCCAGACAATTGAACAAAAAACAGGGACAGCCAGTGATTAAATGCTTTAATCCATATAATTCTGATCCCAAACAATATCGTGTAATCATTACACCTAATGTATTGCTCAACATATTTGGCTCCAAAAAAGATATTCTTGTAATACTTTAAGCTTAACTTATGTATGCATTCCTTTCGTTTCTCATCGTTTATAACAGTAGTCTTTGGTATCCCTTATAATGACATACAGTTTATGGCATTTAAAACATTAAATTTTAAGAACAGCTATTTGTTGGAAATTATTATAACTTCTAACCAATTTTCTGACAGTCATTCAGACTTGTAATCATTTAATAGTTATTTTAATTTAAAACTATTAAAATTACATTTTGAATATTGAAAATATTTGGTATATTATTTGTTTAATAATTTGCTAGAATATACATAAAAGTAAAACGAATAAATGTTTATTAATATTTGTTATATTTTTGTGTCAACAGCTCAGCAAACATGAAGAGTGCCGTATCTTCTGGTTCTTCATCGGGGAGTGAAAGAGTGAATGGAAATGCCGTCACATCTAGTGGTGGATCAGAATTAGAGGACAACAAATCCAAAACAAATAGCAGAATGAGTTGTGCGAGTGATGACAGCTGTGCTATCAATGAGCTATTGGAGGGACGAATGGATTTGACGGTAAAACTACCCAAAAATGCGAGTCCTGTTGTCATTAATGTCGAAAGACGGACTCCAATGCTCGACCTATTGGTCAATATCTCGACTCAATATCGTTTTAATGCCGCCAATTATACCATCAATGCTGGCGAACATGAATTTAAAGCGAGTACTCCTATCGGCACTATAGATGTCAATCAAATTTCAATTGTTCCCAAACCTGTGAAAAGTAATTCATTGAAAAGCAATAGTCCTTCAGTGATGCCGTTTCAGACAACATTCAGATTACAGGTTAATTTGCCTCGAAATCAATTAATGGTTTTAAGGGTAACACCCAATGCAACCATCGCTGCAATCAAACAAATCATATGCAGTGAGAAGGCATTGGATGCCAATAAATACCAATTGGTCCGCTTTATCGGCAATAATGAGAGCCCGCATCTGTTGGACCCCAACAATACACTAGCTTTTTATACACTCAATGAAGTGACACTAATATCATGTAAAACTCTATCGCAGATAGAGATGCAATTCGGAGCCCCGACTGGCGATGCGGTCGATATGTCTCCAAATACTACCGGTGTTTCAATCGAGAAGAATCAAATGAATTCAATGATCATAAGCCAATCAAATCCAGATATTAGGACTTTGGACGACAAGTCAGTATTAAATCACACGTCAAGTGGAAAACAGCAAAAGAAACGTCAGGCACCACCGCCTCCACCCGTCCACTCCTCGGCCACACTTCCCAACAGAGTATTGGCGACAGAAATGAATAAATATAAAGACGAGAAAAGTATGACAATCGGTCCAAATGACAGAAATGGTGATCGAGTGACTGAAACTATAATTGAAGCCAAACCTGTGCTAAAAGTACCACAAAATAATGTTTCACACATTCGACAGAATTCGGGCTCAGATTCAAGTGGTTATCACGAGTCGGTGCTCAGCAGTGACTCTCCTGAGTCCACTTCGGCCACAACCCCTCCCACATCAAGTTCACTGACAACAGAGATATCAAATGTCAATAATACTAAGTCAGGCGCTAAGAAACGTCGCGCTCCACCGCCGCCACCAACCACTCAACAGTCACTTCCAGAACCAGTGAATGCCATTAATGGCAGTCATAATGATATGAGTTTAGATGAAAGTAAAGGAGTTCTTGAATGCATGACTAGCATGAGTGATGTCAGTCTTCCACTCTCGACATCGTCCTCATTGTCCACAACAAGTGGTACCGCCTCTTCAATCAACAACAGAAGCCTTTCCCCTATCGTTGTCACGCAAACCAACGGCTCGTCGACACCACTCAAGAGCCAAACGCCAACTGATTCCAGAGAGACTTCAATGGATTCAGATTCGGCACTCCAGTCAATGGTTCCCGAGATAACCAAATTGGATGATAACTCCAGTCTCTGCGAATCAAATGACAAGCAAAACCCTAATTCTGTGATTTGCTTGCAAAATAAAGACAATGAAAATGTAAAAGAGTCCGATTGTGAAGACTCGACACACTTAGACAACAACTCTATAAATAGCAGTGATGTTCAAGAGAATGGAGAAGTGGTCTCAAGTGTTAGTTCCTCTCAACAAACTATAGTTAGTAAAGAAGCACACATTGAAACGCAAGACATAAAAGTTAGTCCGAGTGTAGAAACCTCTGAAATCATTCCGAAAGCAACACAAATCCAGCTTAAAGTTGAAGTGAATTGTATTTCTGCGGCACTTAATCACGACAATAGTTTGTCTCATAATGAATGCGAAGCACAGGTTGTGGAAAGGGATCTATGCATTGATAATACAGGTTTGAATGTTTTACTTTGATATGTTTAGTGTTGCACTGGTCTATGTTTTTATGATGGATTGTCTCACCAGTTCTGTCCACTGGCGTTATTAATAACCTAATGTCAACAATTGCTTGCATGACATTAATGTCAATTATGTCTCATCACAACTGGTTATCTCAGTTTTAGGTCATATTTAGATAACATTAGCAGCTATTATATGCATGACATTACATGTGATGGAAATCTAAACCCTTATTAAAA